ATACGCTTTACACAATTGATGTGTGTATGGATTGGGATAACAGTTGTATGAGCCCCTAATAAAATGTTTAAAAAAAAAAAAATGTAATAAGACTATTTTGCCCCCTTGGATTATTGCCTTATTTTAGGGATTTTGATGGAAACAGTTCTGCTCTTTAAATAGTAATAAGTGCAGCAATATTCCTTTACACTTTACCTTGACATGATTTTGTTGATGAAACACAAGGTTTTTCAAAAAAGTGAAATTCGTCTTCTGAAAAAAATTAAAACCAAATAAAAAATGAATGCCCACTTGTTACTGGGTGTAAGACTAATATGTTCATTGTAAAGAAATTATGTCTCATGTTTTATACATTTCAAGTATAGCTTTAATCCCTTCCCTTCCTCCTCTATCTCTTTTCACTCCTCCAGTTAGCCATTTAAAAGGGAGTATTGCTGGGGCCATACAGAGATAAATTCTTTAGGAAAGATTTAGAGTGGTGAGCAGTAATAGTTGTACGCAGATAGGCTTTAAAGTTAACTGAGGTCATTTTGCCTTTCCCCTCCCCCAGGGTCCTGTCTTGATAGGCAGTTCTCAAGGGGGGGTCAACATTGAAGACGTTGCTGCGGAGTCTCCGGAGGCCATCATTACAGAACCAATTGATATTGTCGAAGGCATCAAGAAGGAGCAAGCTCTCAGGGTATGTGATGTGATGAAAGCTTTCTGAACTCTAATCAGAGAAATACAGCAATTAAAGAATGTCACTTAACCTTGTACAAGTGAAAAGATTCTCCAGACTTTTTTTGGTAAAAAGCATTTCAAGAATGTCAGCACATTAGTATCTTGTTTGAAATGTGAGTGTGAATATCTTGTTTCGACAGTGTTGAGACACCTGAATATTTTTCTTCACATCCCCTATAAGTACTTCATAATGTACCTTGAGAAGATAAGGATTCTTTAAAGAGAGTCACAGTGTCATTAACATACTTTGTAAAATTAATAGTAATTCCTTAATATTGTCATTAGGAATCCTGATGGCGTGGTGGTTACACATTTGACTGCAAAACACAAGGTTAGCAGTTTGAAACCACCAGTCCGCTGTTCAGGAGAAAGACAAGACTTTCTACTCCTGTAAAGAGTTCCCGTCTCGGAAACCCACAGGCGCAGTCTACCCTGCCCTCAAGGGTTGCTATGAGTTGGAATAAGCTCTGCGGCAGTGAGTTTGGTTTGGGTTTGAATATTTTCACTCAGCTGTTCAAACCTATTGGTTTCAGGTTACTTTTCCATCTACAGTTTGTGGTGGGATCCATATATAGTCCGTAGAGTACTATGAGTATGTTAGTCTGGGTACTTTGGAAAAACAAATCCACAGAAACTCCTATGTATATAAGAGAGAGTTTTATATACTGGGTAAGTGCACATCAAGAAAACATTCCAACCCAGTGCTGCCCAAGCCCACAAGTCCAACATTAACCCATATGTCCAACACCAATCCACAAAGTCCTCCTCCATCTCACAAAACACACAATCTGATGCCGACTGCTGGAGGAAAGCCGAGTCAGTGAATGTGTAAGCATCTCAGCGCTGGCAGGGGTCTCCACACGGCTGCTCCAGCGCCTAGGGCTGCATAGGGCTAGGTCCCTGTGGCTTCTCCTCAGGGATGTCTCGCAGGTAGTGAGCCTTGCTGGTTGAATCAGGAATTGGCTAAGGCAGCTGCACCCTGGTCTGACCATCAGAAAGCAAGAGACCTGAGAACTAGAAAGGCAAGGCTCACAGAGCCATTTATCCCTCCGCCCGTCAATTACCCCACATGTATTATCAGCCAGGTTGCCACAGTAAACTAACTACCTCAATGGGTTCATCCTCTCTTGATCTTTCCCCTCCTTTCAGATTTGTTGGAGAAACTGGGGTGATTAGTCCATATTATTTCTCATTCCGGATCTTGCTTCCCCCGAGTGGCATTTAATGTGCACCTGTGATGACCTCTGTTTCCTATAAATGGTATGGGGAGGAACTTTTAAGAGCGGCCAAAAAATTAATACACTGAGGCTTCTGAAAGTTTGGAAAATGAATTAAAACAATGACATTTCTCCATGAACGTTTTAATGATCATATTGGAGGTTAGAACATGTAGGCAATAGTGTGTACCATTCACTGAGGTGAGTGCCATGCATTGAGACAGAATTACCCGTAGCTTATAGAAGTGCAGAGGGGCCAGGTACTTATTCTTGTGCCCATGCCTATTATGTTTTAAGGTTTGTTCATCCTTCACTTCTCCAGCTTTCTTTGTATCCCTTATATACTACACTTCCGTGTTAAGCTACTTTTAATATCCGAACATTTTGCCTGATTTTTCTTGGTAGTCTTGCATGCCCTTTGTTAGAATGCTCATCTCTTCCCTTAGATTACAACCTCCATGTCCCCGGATAGCTTTCCTGAACCTTTTCTGATAACTACATCTTTTTTTTCACTGTCTCTCTGTGGTAGACAGGGTTCTCTAGAAAAACAAAGCCAGGACACTTAGGGTTTTAGGAATATAACAGCTAATGAGTCCACACAGCAGTACAGAGGGCTCAGTTCAACTCACTTCCATGAAACAGTTAATGTACTGGACGTCATTCAACTCACAAGGGCTGCTGGGCTCAAGGTCAAGGAAGCAGACAGCTGAGTCTTCCGTAGAGCAATGCAGGCAGTCCAGCCACAGGCAGCAAACTGCAGAGTGGGTCACCAACAGTCAACTAGATGACACGATCTGACAGTCCCCAGCTTAAGCGATTTACACACCAGCAGTGTGGCGAAGCAGGTCTCAGAGGAAGCTCAAGCTCTAGCGACTCAGTCCACGGGCTGGGCGTGCCATAGGTAGTGTAGGTCGCAGGTTGAGGCAGAGAACTCGTTAAGGCAGCTGCACACTGGTCAGATCTCCAGAGAGCAAGAGAGAGAGAGAGAGAGAGGCAGGGCTCGCCGTGCCGTTTTCTCTGTGCCCTCCAATCAAACTGCGACCCTATGAACCCCATATATTCTTACTGGCCTGGTTGGCACAATAACCTACCTATCACACTGTGTCCTGTAGTTAGTTGCACTACTTTAATTTTTTTGTGCCACCCATGCAAGGTAGGGATACTGCCTTCTGTATCTTTATGATAGATTAATGGTTTTATTATTTATTTTTATTTGAGTTTATGGATCTTTTCAAGGATCTGACCCTTTAAAGAATCTCAGAATGTGCACACATACTAAATTAGCCTGAAGTTTCATTAGTTTTCTGTCCTGTCTTTCCTTTGTGCATTTCCTCCCCCTTCACCCCCCCCTCTCCCAAAATCCTCTACACATGGAGTCACTTACTTTGGTATCGGCAAATTATTTGGAATATTTTGTAAATTATTTACTTTCTGAATAAAAATAACGATCCATTTTTAAACGTTTGAATATTAAACCTGGAATGAAAGTAAACATCTGTTAACTGAGAAACCACAAACCAAAATAAATGTTTGATGTTGAAGTACAGAAAGAGCAAGACTTTTCAGTAAAACAAAGATTTAAAGATACTTTCCTGATAAAGCATGCAATAAAGCATTTAAGTGAGCTGATAATGTAAATATTTGAAAAGTACAGAAATGTGATTCATTTGCATAGTCATTTGCGTGTGAGACTAATGACTGAAGAGTTAAGTTTAGATAAGGAAGAAAGTACTTGATTCACCAGAATATTTAATGGAATAATTTGCTTAGAACATAGCACTTTAAGCAATGAACAGAAACAGTTTCATACAGTGCTTGCCAGATTAATATCTAATTTTGTCAAGCAGAAGGATTGCAAGTCTCAAATGTTTAAACCTCAGAGTGGTGAGTTATGACCTAGTGAGAAACTTGCGTAGTGAACTGGTGTTTTATTTCTCCTTATTCTTTACTTGAGCCTTCTTGGCATCGCAGGTTGCGGGTTGGCCTGCTAGCGCCCAGGGTAGCAGTTTGAAATCACCAGCCGCTCCATCGGAGAAAGAGGAGGCTTTTCTTCTCGTAAACAGTTTCACTTGCAGAAACCCACAGGGGCAGTTCTACACTGTTCAACAGGGTTGCTGTGAGTCAGCCTCAACTTGATGGCCATGAGTTTTGAGAGAATACTTGAAAAATCTCAACCACATATCTATTCATTGGCATTTGACTCTGCAAAAGTCAGATTTTCTCTTAAAGAATTTAATATTTTCTGTTACTGAAAATCAAGAGAATGTGTTGGCCACCTTAAATAGCAACTGTGAAAAAGGAGAGAACGATTTTGCAATGCTCTGGGCAGTGGCAGCACTGTTAGGGTTAACACACAGACATACAGCCTCTGTGCCAATATTTCAGAATTGCATATGGAACTTTACAAAAAAGATGCTTGGTCCATTTTCCAACTTTTAAACTGGAACTTCTGGATTGGGACCTTGGTTTATGTTTGTTTTAGAAAAAGCTCTACTAATTTCTGGTTGGGAATTTTGCTCAAGGCTGTAAACTTTTCTACTAGAAGTTTAAATGCCTATATTCTTAGAGGCTAGCACAGTATCTGACCTATATTAAGTGCTCAGTAGAGTCAATGAGTTGAGGTAATACTAAGGTGTTAACCCAGGCTGACAAGAGAAGCAAGTCTGTACAAGAGAGCTTTCTACCAAGAACTAGTTATGTATCAGGGAAAACACCCCAGCCCTTTGCAGGTCAGGTCCATAAGTCCCATACTAGTCCGTAAGTCCAATACCAGCCCATAAATCCCTCTTCAGACTCATGCAGCCACAAGCAATGATGCCAAATGCAGGAAGATCCCAGGCCGGTGGGTGAGAAGTCTTGCGCGTCAAATGCGGTGGAAGCATCCCAGGGCTGGCGCCGTTCTCTGCATGGCTCTGCAACAGGAATGTGAAGGCAGATAGGAAGAGAGGGAGAGGGGCCTGCCTCCAGAGAGCCATTTATCTCGGTGGCACCTCTAAATGAGGTCATCAAGCTGCGATTTGATTGACAGGCCAAACTCTACCTACATCTTATGGGTGCCATGTTAGTACAAAAAACCTAACGATCACAACTAATTTGATTGTAAATCTACTTGTGATTTGTAATTTTAATAAAGTATATTCCTCTTTTAGGTAGAGGCAGTATGTATGGAAGCTATAGAATACACTGTGGACTTAGAATTTAAGGGAGTGGCAAGTTACTTGTACTCTCTGAATTTCTCACTGTAAAGTGGGCATAATACCTTGTGAGGATTTTGAATGTGAATTTTATTTCGCTAATTAATAATAGTAGCTATCATTAATGTTTAATTACAAAGGGTTCATGCTTATTATTTAAGTGATAAATTAAGTTTTTTGCTTAAAGTAATTTAGTATTGATTAGGTATACACAAAATATCCACTAAAAAGAGATATGTCTTTCAGGTTGCACAGAAGATGGGATTTCCACCTAATATTTTGGATTCTGCAGCAGAGAACATGGTCAAGCTTTATACCCTTTTCCTGAAATATGATGCAACCATGGTAGAGATCAATCCCATAGTAGAAGACTCAGATGGAGCTGGTAAAGGGTCTTCTGATAATAAAATACTGATGATTCCTTTATCCACCTATAAGTTTTAGTAAGGAGTCCTGGTCATGCTTAGGGTTTGGCATTGGACTGCCTTGACTACTACAAGGTTGGCGTTTCAAAGCCAACATCTTCTCTGTGGGAGGGAGATTGAAGCTGTTCTGTTCCGCTAGAGATTTACTGCCTCAAAAACCCTATGTAGGCTCCCTGTGGGGCTGAACCGACTAAATGGTAGTGGGTTTGGGATTTTGGTTTTATGTGCTTCAGTAAGGAAGTTAAATTTAATATGATCATGAACTTATTATTACATAGAATTTTATTAAAATATGAATGTGGACCTATGTTAAAGAGACCCCATTGAAACATATCTTTAGTATATATACAAAGGGGCTCCAAAACGTGTGGAAAATTTCTATTGTCTTCTAATTCTGTTTTGCCGTGGACTTCTTGGAGCCCCTCCTATGTTCATGTGCATCCCATCGAGGTCAGGACTGTGCTGTTGACGCAGTGGTTTCCCAGCATGTTTAAGTGAATCACAATTATGTGTGAGCAAGCCTTCACTTCTTCAGTGGCACCAGTCAGGTTTCAAGTGCCCAGCAGCTACATGTGGTTCTCATGTGCACAGCACACGTAGGGAACACTTCTGTCTCTGTGAGCCGGAATGGCTCCAATGGCAGTGAGTGTGGACTGCTTTCGTGTATTGCACAGTTCATTTTAGTTTAGTTGCCACTACCGGCGTTTCTAACTCTTCCCATCTTGTGCATCTGTAGATCATCTTTTACACTTCTAATTGTATTCTTTATAAGACAGACCGCTCTTGGTCTGAGTGAGTAAGTTCTCGGGCGGCAGTAGAGGTAGTTTATCAGACTGTGGACTGATGCACATTTTAAAAACAAAGTCGTCAGTGAAGGGAGTTATCTGCATAAAGCACATTTTAAAATATTGTTTTCTTTTTTTTTTTTTAATCAATTTATTGGGGCTCATACAATTCATCACAATACATAGATCAATTATGTAAAGCACATCTATACATTTGTTGCCCTCATTATTCCCAAAATTCGCTTGCCTCTTGGGTTCCCGGAATCTGCTAATTTTCCTTTTTTCCTCCCACCCCTTCCCTTCCTCCTCCCCTCTCCCCCATGCACCCTTAATAATTTATAAATTATTATTATATCTTATATTACACTGTCCAGCGTCTCCCTTCACTCACCCTTCTTATTTTCTTAAAAGAGAGCAATAACATTAAAAACAAGATCTTTCTTGTTTAAAAGTGTGAAATTCTACAGCCATATCCTGTCAATAAAGCCATGTCTTTTAATAATTTAATAATGTTTAATAATGTTTCTTTTTCCATCCTCAGTTTTTCCTTGCTTTGTATGCATTGTATATTTTGAAGACTTTTATTTTGCTTTTACCAATTGAGGCATCATGTAGTGGTAACAGAAAACTTGCAAAATACCAGTAAATATAGATCCGTAAACCCAGTACCATGTTAGTGTTGTGTATAGTTCATTTCATTCTTTTGTGTAATTGGGATCATGTTGTTTATTCAGCTTATTTTTTCCCCTTTTAGAATTTAAAACTTGTAGAATTTTTTTAATGTTAAGTATTTTTAAAAGATAGGACTTTCAAAGGCCTGCATTTCATTTGTATATAAATCTTTGCTTGGTACTCCGAGTATGTTTCACATAGTTGCCTAGAAAAGAAATTTTTAAGGCAAGGAACAATGTTTTTGAGATATGAGGATAAGTCAAAAAGTATTTCTACGAGGATTCCAGTTCATATATACATGGATTAAACAAAACATGCTTAACCGTAACGACTATTGGTGGTGGCTGTAGACAGCTCTCTCAGTAATGTGCTTGTATTATTAGGGACCTTCCCCCCAAAAAGGATGCTTTTGTGCAATGGGTAAAAGCAGTTTTGAGGTCAGAACTAATATCAAATTGTTAACAAAAGTCAAATGTACTTCTTCCCAAATCATCAAAGCTTTGCAACATGTTTACAGGAATGCTGCTTCACATAAAACAACCGTTTTTAGATGAATCAAGCATTTTTAGAAGGGCCGGAGAACTTCAAAGTTGAACTCAGAACGAGAGCATCATCAGCCTCAGTGGGTGAGAAGCCAGGGCTGCAATCCAGAAGCTGGAGGAAAGAGACCACAGCTCACCACTGGTGCAGCAGCCTCTGTACGACAGCCGGCCGTTCACATGATTTGGCCGTTTCAATTTTAAGTGAACTTTTTGGCCTCAGCAAGCTTTCAGCTAGGAGAATTTTTAGCCATTATTCCAAAAGTTATACTACTCTATTCCCTTTTTATGCCATTTTCACGGATATTAGACAACCTTGATATTGTCCAATAGGTCACTTAGTTGCAACATAGGCGTCTTTGGGTGATTTCATAGGAGCCTTCTTGCTAGACTACTAGGCCTAAAAGCCTGGTTACACAGGGCTCACGAGAGAATGATGGGGCAAGTCTGATATAAAAAGTTCAAACCAGGAATTGACAGATACATTAGGCTTTGTGGGCTACATGTGGTCTCTGGTGCTACTGCTATTCAAATTTCTATTCTTATTCTTCCTCATTTTCTCTCAGTATTTCTTCTTTCTCCACAGCCTCTTAAAAATAGAGAAACTGTCTTTAGCTCACAGACTGTAAAAAAATTGGCCTAGGCTATATTTGGCCCATATGGGCAACTAGTTTGCTGACCCCTGATTTAAACAAAGAGGAATGTAAGGGAATGTGGAGCATAACATTTTTGCAAGCCAGAGGGATGTAGCTAATAGAAAGGGGGAACTTAATAATTCAGGAAAGATAATTACTGTAGTGAAGTCCTGAAATGCGTTAGTGCTATTATTGGACCACAAGTGCCAGGAGCATGGTGGATAGCAAATTCTTAATAATTAAAACATTTGTTGAGATGTTTTTGAGTTTTTCTCCCTTCTTTGGCTGTTGCCTAGGGTAAGTGTAGGACCAGCAATTCTCCTGGGGCAGTTTTCATTTTCATTTTCACACAGCAGTTTGAATTCATTGGAAGCATAAATTAAAATATTTTCCAAAGCTGTGATATTAAAATGCCTTTTTTGACTGTATGTTAACTGCCACTGAATTAAGATGACTTTTTCTCTTTCTTTTCAAAGTGGTGTGTATGGATGCAAAGATTAATTTTGATAGTAATTCAGCCTTTCGCCAGAAGAAAATCTTTGCCCTGCAGGACTGGACCCAGGAAGATGCAAGGGACAAAGCCGCGAGTGAAGCCAATCTCAACTACATTGGCCTGGACGGGACCATCGGCTGTCTGGGTATCATGCCGTTTGTTAGTCGCTGGAACTGGATTTCAGCACACTTCATGCTCTGTGTGTTTGTGTCTTACCCAAATCGTTCTCTCCTCTTGGCAGTGAATGGTGCTGGCTTGGCCATGGCCACGATGGACATAATAAAACTCCACGGAGGGACTCCAGCCAACTTCCTTGATGTTGGCGGTGGTGCCACAGTCCACCAAGTGACAGAAGCCTTTAAGCTTATTACTTCAGATAAAAAGGTAAGACTCTTGTTTTGGAGTTGGAATCGTGAGAAGTCCCTTGGTTAATTAGTTGATGTGGTCATTTGGTTGAGCATTAAAAATGAAAGCAATCTCAACCGTGTGGAAAGAGGCTGAAATGAATGGAGTAGAGGCTAACTAGAGAACAAGATAACATCGTACACTGTGACTTAGAAATATTAGATGGTGGTCTCATTGGCTGTCAGGTCAGCTCTTGGCTCACGGTGACCCCATGCACAGTGGGAGTGGGTCGTTGTGATCCATTGGCTGATCTTTTGAAAGTAGGCCTTTGTCCCTAGTGTGTCTTCATCCGGAACTTTTCTGAAATCTGTTCAGCGTCTTTGTCGCATGCAAACGTCCACTGGTAGGTGGGTGATGTGTGCTCATGAGGTACATTGACTGGGATTCACACTGGTTCTCCCACATGGAAAGAGAGTTCTACCCATGAACCACCATAACTACTAAATGGTAACGTAAGTTGTTGTGATCTGGCATGGGTGCCATTCCTTTAGGGAAAAAATGCTGCTTTTTTACCCAAAACCAAACTCATTATAATCAAGTCAATTCCAATTCATAGCAGTCCACGTATCGCAGAGCAGAATAGGCTTTTTGTGGTGGTGGTCTCTGTGGAAACAGATCGTCAGGACGTTCTTCCGCAGTGCCACTGGGTGAGTTTGAACGGCCACTCTTTAGCAGAGCACAAGCCAGATCAGCACATTGGTATGTGCCCTGTCTTTCCTGTACTTCTTTCTGTAGCTGGAACAATGCCCGCAGGCATGCTTGCTTATTAAATATTTATTATGTGGCCTTTGGAGAAAGCTCAGTGGCTGTGCCCTGTGGTCCGCAGGCATCCAGCAAGCACCCTCCCCGCAGCCACGATGTCCACAAGGAAGGTCAGCTCCACCAAAGGGGCGGTGAAGGAGGAGCCCCTGAGAATTGAGCACACAGGTGACGTGTCACTGGTCACTCAGCCCGAGGTCCGGATTCTGTAATGAAGAAAGCGGGATCAGTGAAGGGCTGATGGATTGAGAAGAGTAGAAAGATGGAGAGGAACCAGAGCCTTTAGGAGGAACATAGTTTAGTGGTGATAGATGTGAAAGTTGAGACGGGATTGTAATTTGTTATTCTTGAGACAGTCATTCTGGGCAATTCAAGTGCTTGTCCATGGTAGTCATTGGTTGAAATGAACTGGAGGAGACAGTAGCCAGGCAGAGGTCTAGGAATTTAAGGCCAAGATCTTAGGCGACACTTTGTGGTACATACTGAGGCCATCCAGAATGAGGCTGGAAGGAGCGGGGTGGGAGAGAGATGGGAGTAGGTGCCAGAGTCCACTATGAATTTCACCATGCTATGAATTCTAGATTGTCAGTTGCAGTAAAGACGAAGACTAAGTTGTGTAAGCTCGGCATATCGCAGCCTTTCCGTGTGCCGTAGCCTTCACAGGAAAGGAGTTAGAGGGAGATGGAGAAAGTTATTTAAGGGCAGGACCAGAGGCTGCAGGTCCTTCTTCATAGATTCCCTAAGGATTGAGAGGCACATGGCTCATGTCTTTGTGTATCTGTAACTCATTTATATCTCACTGGCTGAGAGCTGAAGGTATGGTTGGATGAACTAAGTCTCTTTAAAAAGTGATTCCTCCTCTGGAAACAGTACACAAGTGATTCGGGAGGGATAGATTAAAGTGTGGTGGTGGTGGTGGTGAAAAATACTGACCCAAACCGGCCCTGAGGTTTGAATGGAAGTGAAGCCAGGAGTAGGCATGCAGGGGAAAGCTGAGTGAGTCTACATGGAAAAGCTGGCGGGATGGCTGGAGATGAATGACGAGAGAATAGGTCATGACTACTGAACGCGTTCTTGCATGTGCTGTCGCCTCATGACATGCCCTCATGTAGTGTCGTCCTGGCAAGCAGGAAACAAGTGAGTGGAATTAATGAGGGCTTGTTTACGTGGGTAAGGAGAGAAGAGATTGTGAGGCAGGTGTTGGAGCACTAACACCCGTGATGAGAACTAGAAATACGGAGGACGTGATATCGTGGTATGACAATGTTTCTGAGGAGTTAATTTTTATCATAAGACACAGACACCAGCATTTTGGGGGGGAACGGAAGACAAACACTCATTTTTCTTTTTAACTTTAATCTACCCGAACCTCTTTATTTATTCATAGGTGCAGGCTATCCTGGTCAACATTTTTGGAGGAATCATGCGGTGTGATGTCATTGCACAGGGTATAGTTATGGCAGTCAAGGATCTGGAGATTAAAATCCCCATTGTCGTACGGTTACAAGGTGAGGGTAAAAGGCAGCTTGCACTTGTTCAGTGAACTTGTTCAAGTATTTATGAGCGGCTTCAAAAGTTTGTGGAGAAATTCCCTTCTCTTTTAATTCCAATTTTCCACAAACTCGTTGAAATTCTTTTATATAATTCCAAAGAATTCAGTTCATTTAAAGATAGTTTTCAACCGCTGCCCTATTATAGTTATATCTTTTTAACGAAAGTTTATAGAATAGGAAAGCATTGACAACCATAGTAGTGAAAAAATGCTTATAGTTTTGATACTTCCTTTTTGTGTTGTGGTTTGCCTCTCATTCTGACTTGATTGAGTTACTATGAGTATTCTGCGACATGATATGTTTTATGAAGTAACCTGGGTTTTGTTTATTTATTTGCTTGAATTATTTATATTAAGTAATGAGTTAAATTAAAATTTCATACTTCGAATGTGTTGTGGCAAACCGTTTTAGGTGATTTTGTGTTTGTATTTAAACATCTTTGTTTGCATGAATTCAATTCAGGAACACGGGTTGATGATGCTAAGGCGCTAATAACAGACAGCGGACTGAAAATTCTTGCTTGTGATGATTTGGATGAAGCTGCTAAAATGGTAAATCGGTTCTGTTAATTGACGGACATATTTGCAACATGTGTGAAAGATTTGTAAACATTGAGAGTCTCATATGCACCAGCTAATACTGTTCAAAGCATTTCATTTGATTCTATGAGTATAATGAGCCCCCTGTTCTCATCACCCATTTTTTAAATGATGATCAACCCTTGCTCAATCTTGCTTCATTTTTATTCTTTTTTAAAAAATCATTTTTTCGGGAGCTCATACAACTCTCATCACAATCCATACATTTATGTTCTTAAGAATACAGATTCTTCCCTTGCCCGTGGTTATTTTCAAGCAAATTGTCTATAAAAGAATATCGATAATTATATAAGATAATTAGTGCTTCAGGTGAGGTAATGGAACTGTGGCTGTTGTATAAAGAGAATTTAGCCAGTTTTAAAATTTCCTTGTTCCTTGCAAATATATATGCATATTTTGGTCGGGGTTGTTTGCTAGAATTAAGATCAAAATAAGTCCATACATCGCATTTGGTTCTTATATCTCTTAATTGCTTTTTCCCTCGGCGGTTTGAAAACAATTACGGTGAAAGTCTTAAAGAATTTCTCATAGTTTGGATTTTTATGATTGCAACCCTGTGATGTTCTCCTCTGCCACCATTATTTCTCCTAAAAGCTGTGTTCCTAGAGGTTTGACTTAGAGGTTTGATCATATTTGTATGTGGGGACCAGGGAGCAAGAATATATTATAGTTCATGCTGTGTAATTCCACAGCAAGTACATAAGATTTTTTCTCTTTTTGCGAAGTTAGCAGCGATTGAAAAATACTGCTTAGATCTATTATTTCATTTATGGTTGTGGAATACTACCCCCCCCACCCCAATGTTTTATTTATTTATTTTTAGAATAAAGATGTTTGAAGATACATTTTAGAAAATATATTTTACCACTATGGAACACCTTTAAAAAGTGAAAGTTTCTACAATCATTTGCTACCATGAAGGAAATTTTACGTAGTAAAAGCAACAATGATTTGCTTTAATTTTCAGTTTGCACAATAATGCATTTGTTTTCTTATATCCTACAAAGATTTTAAAGTGTTTTTTGTTGTTGTTGTTGTTTTCAAGTCTGTGTGTGTGTGTACAGACAGGCACGTGTGTATAAGCACACATGCTACTTTGAACCCATGGATTTAGGTATAGTTGATGTGGGTTGATTAATTTTAGTTAATTCTTAATGATGCTCAAACTGCCCTGACTTCGGTCAGTGGGAACTTCTTGCAGTTGACTCCTGAGACCGTCTCCCACTCCTGGGCTGTGCTTGTTGCTGTGGCTCATTCTGTGGCCCTCCCGGGACGTTTCTCAGCCCAGACCTGGAGCCTGCCGCGTAGTAGAGACCACCACGTGGTCCTAGGAGCCCTCACGACTGCTATGGGATTGTTGATGGTTTCTAGGCTTCCTTAGGGAAAATCTTGGAAACTATATTGTTTCCAGAGATTAGTTCATGGTTTCAAACTGACATATCGGATGCCAATCCAGAAATGTAGTTTTTTTCCTTACATCATGTCCAAAATGAAAATAGATCGACTTGTGCATTCATTTTCCCAATTTTTCTGATTTTGCATTGTGGTGGTAATAGAGGCAAACTTGTGTTGTTGTTGTTTTTCCTTTCAGGTTGTAAAACTCTCTGAAATAGTGACCTTAGCCAAGCAAGCCCAGGTGGATGTGAAGTTTCAGCTGCCCATCTGAACGGACAACCCAGTGGATGGTGGAAGGTGTTAAATGTGCTACAAACATTGAAAATACTGTGTCTGTATTATTATTCCTTTTCTTTTAAGTGTGTGGAGGTTGTAATTGCCATGTAGGGAAACAGACTTCTACAAAGCGTTTTGTCTGCATTGAATTCTACTGTTGAGGGTGAGCTGTTTGTGTAAAGAGTTTATAGAATGCAGGCAGTCCCTTTCTGCTTCTATGGAATGTCACTTGTGATATGCCTGTGTATGAAGATTGGCTACAGAGTTTTTCATGGATAAGTTTCCTATGAATAAAGTAAATATGAAGGTAAAGCTTTATTCTGTAGGCGTAGAAGTATATTATATCTAATAACTAGCCTCCTTGCTGGAGTACTGTATTAAAACAATGTTTTATATAAGAAGTGGTTATGGGAAACACCAAATACAAGCTCATTATATCAATCACTATTTATAAACAGCTTTCAAACACTCCCCAGAGTAGCCTTTTAAGTATTTCAGTGAGGTAGCTATTTAATTATTTGTACATTGTTTTAATCACTATGAAACATTGATAGCTACAAGTCTTCATGATTCTGCTGTATTATTAAGAAGTACCCATAGGTCTGTATCAAATAAAGGCATATTTACTAAGGACAGAGACAAAATTAAGACTGTCAATTTAAGTTAATAAAAATCTCTAAAATGTGATTGGATTTATGTGTTTTTCTCCCCCCCCCTTTGAAGTTAATGTAGTTGAATATGATGTGTTAATCACTGTATAAATAGCACTAAAGAACTGTGTTCATGGCAAGTACATGTTATAAAGTGATCTACAGGTGGTATACCACTGGGATCCTGCAGTTTGTGAATCCCCTCTGGTACATTCTCTACAGAAACCACCTGTCCTCCGTGTGATAACATGGATGGTAACATCGGCGAAGCAGTGGACTGTTCAGTACTGTTGGTCGCCTCAAAAACTCCCACCTATTTTTGAGTTTTTAAAAATTTTTTTATTTTTTCCTAGATGGCTTTTATAATGTAGTCAAAAACAGCCCTAGGCAGGGGGTCATCATGTTAACACCAAACTACACAGCATCTTCCCTACAATCTTCAGCCCCAACAGGAACTGCAAGATGCGAGGGAGGTGGGGGTGGGGGTGGGGGTGGGGGTGGGGACCAGACTGTTTCTGCGTTATATACATACTCTCATTTACGGACAGGCTCTATATACACATAGATTTATTGGCATATACCTCACATACCCTGCAATTTAATTGTTCCATCTTATTAAGAAGAGCTGTACGAGCATCACCACAATTTCAGAACATTTTCTTCTTATTCTCTACTCATTGTTGTTAGCTCTGCATTTCTCATAAACCTTCCCTGCTATTTTGCTCAAATCAAAATTCATTGCAAAGGAGGCAATGCTAGCTCAAAGCAACTCTATAGGAAGGGTTGAAGTGCCTCTGCGTGTTTCCAAGACTGTAACTCTACAGGAGCAGAAAGTCCAGTCTTATTCCCTTGGAGCAGCTAGTGGTTTCAAACTGCTGACCTTGCAGTTGGCAGCCCAATGTGTAACCGCTACATCATCAGGGCTCCTTGTCATCCCCCCACCCCAAGAAATTGTTAATCCAGTTACTGTCTCTATTGTTTTATTATTTTGAGTTCTTAAATGTGGTCAGAATACATGCTATGAGAGGCAACAGAGCATAGTGATTTTAAGACAGACAGCCTGCTTTGAAGCTTGGCCATACTCATGTATACATATGTGAGTTTGTCCAAATTTGTTAATTTCGGTGTACCTCAGTTTTCTTAACTCATTTCTAATCCTCATGAGAATTATTCAGTTATTGATCTATAACCTGTCTATCTGAAGGTATTTATATAGAGAGAACATTAAAAAAAATACTCAAGTCAAATATATATGTGCTATGAGAGGTTACCTTCCCCCCAAAATGGACAAAAGCTCCGCGGGGCTGGGCTTTTGTTACATGTATTTTTCCTGCTAGGTGAGCATTGAGCAACTCACTATGAGTTAGTTTACCCAGTGATGTCGCCTGGGAAGATTCTCTCTGGTCACAGTACATTTATTTGGAAAAGTTTGTTGAACCTTGTTTTTTATGATGGCAGATTTAAGAGAACAGGGCGCGCCTGTGAAATTGTTTCCTGTTTTGGGCGGGGGTGGGGGTGGACACGCCACAGAAGCTGTTGGGATGTTGAACAGTTTACAAGGACAGCGCTATGGGAAAAACAAGTGTACGAGTGGTTTTCTCATTTCAAAAGAGAAGAAATGTCAGTTGATGACAAGCCTCGTTTTGGATGCCCATCAACTTCCCAAACAGACAATTGTTGACAAATTCATCCACTTCTGGTTGAAGCCTTAATGACAGATCACTGAAGAGATGGGGAAGTGTTCTGGACCACCCTGGGGCTCAGTTCAGTGCATTTTAATGGAAGACTTGGGAAGGAGAAGGGTTGCTGGGAAATTTGTGCCTTGGTTCTGACTGACCCGCAAAAAGAGCGTCTACTGGAGACGTGCCTTGCTTTGAAAGAACAGAGTAACCAGACTTTTTTCCCCCCAAGGTCATTACTGGTGGCAAGACATCGTGACATGGTGCTATTCTTATAACCCCGAAAGCCAGCAGCAGTCAAGCCAGCGGAAGACGCCATCGTCACCTCGCTCCTCATATCCTCGTTAAGTGAAATCAGAGATCAAGACAATGCTCATTTGGTTTTTTGAAGCGAGGCGAAGGTGCATTTGGAGTTCATTCCACCAGGTCAGACTGTTAATCAAGATTGCATAACAGTGTTCAACAAAAAAGGCTTGATTTTTGGCAGACGGACTGATTTTGCCACCTTGACAATGCACCTGCTTGCGCAGCCACCTGTGCCAGTTTTAGGCAAAAATAGCATGCCTCTCTTGCCCCACACACCCGACTTACCTGACCTAACTCTGTAAGACTTTTTTTTTCTGAGAATGAAGAGGGATATGAAAGGATAGCAGTTTGATGTAGAAGAGGTATTGGGTTTCTTGACTCTTTTTTGCAAGGGGTGTGGTTAGTGTTATCTGTTTAGTCTTGCCAGTTTGGACCTGCCCTACCCATAAACTATGGTTCATAACTATGAGACAGTGACCGACTGGGCTAACAAGTTAAGACTTCTTTTGCTTTGTCAGAAAGAATGTCACCAAAATATGAAAGCTTCAATGTCCTGTGAGAGCTTTTGTTGTTGGGTTTTGCTTATTTGGTTTCCCAATTGTGGATTTTAAACATTACATTTCGTGTAATGTCTCTACATTTTATTTTACCTGGTCTGCCCTATCTAAGCATTAAGAGACCAAATCAGAACTATAAATCGTGTATTGTGATAAACTTAAGTTATAAAGTCCTAGCCTTTAGCTTATGTTAAAGAAAATCCATTTCCAAAAAAATGCCAGGCAGCGATTACTTAGGGTTAGAATTTGTATTATTAATTAGGATCTAGTCAGGAATTGGGAGTCCTGGTGGTGCTGCGTCTCAAAGTTGGCAGTTGAAATCCGTCAGCTGCTCCATGGGAGAAAGAAGAGGTTGGATGTTCCCATAAGGATGATAGTCTCAGGAACCCTATATAGTATATAATATATAAGGTTGGAACCCACACGATGGCAGTGGGTTTAATTAGGAATTAAGATTCCGAATGGCACAGATGACTTAACTGAAAGGTTAGCAGCTCAAAGCCACTGGGAGGCACTGGAAAAAGGCTTGCTTATCTCCTGCAAGATCGTGGCCACTGAAAGACCATACACCTGTGGCTCACAGATCAACATGAAGTGTAATTAACTCAGTAGCAACTGGTTTGCATCTGTGGTTGTTGTTTTTTTAAAGCCAGGAATTAAAAACAATCCTTAGTATTTCACTCAAAACTCGACAGGTAATTGATAATGCTGATACTTTAGGTATCTATTCTTGCATAACAAACTACCTTCTACCTAAATTTGTGGGTTATACATTTGGGAGCAGTTTCGGTGTGAGGGTCTGACAGGGTTGAATAGCTTAGTCATGTTACTGTGACACAAGGGCTCAGTTCCTCACCATGTGGGCCACTTTAGAGGTTGTCTTGTGACAGGGCAGCTGATTTCCTCGGACAAGGGATCCCTGAAAGCAAAGTGGAAACCACGTTGTGTTTTATATCCTGTCACTTCCTGAGGGGAGATGGACCAACACATTTGAAGATACAGGGGACACAGAATTAATTTAGAGATTGACACATGGTGAGAGTGAGGTGGTAATCCAGAACCTGGAAGTGTAGAAGATTTCTAGTGCTTGGTCTTTTGAAAGTAGTGCCTTGTCTGCTGGTGTCCAAACCTGAAGTGAAGGAAGATCAAAGAAAACAATTTTGGACTAGGAGGGGCCAGGAAAGAATGTTTCCAGGATGAAGTGATCAACAGGGTGATCTGCCAAGGAGTCAGAACTAAAACGTATCCAGGGGTATTGAACTGGTGTTAGTATAAGTAATCTTGACAAGAATGATAGTGAAGTTGTAGGGGAGGAATTCAGATTTGTATGGAGAATGGAGTTGCTGGTAGATGCTTATATATAAGCATCTCACTTCATTCTCTAAACATATACCCCCCCAAATGCACTGCCATTGAGTTGATACCAACTCCCAGTGACCCTAGGGGTCGGGATAGAGCTGCCCCTGTGAGTTTCTGAGACTAATTTTTGTTTTTCCTTACCCCCTCCTGCCCAGTCCTTCCCGAACCTGGACCTGAGACTAATTGTTAATGAGAGTTGAAAGCCTATCTTTCTCCCATGGAGCAGCTGGTGGTTTCGAATTACTGACCTTGTAGATTGCAGCCCCACCCAGAATCACTTCCCCACCAGGGCTCCTCCTACATTATTGAATATTTTTACAAAGGGCTGGTAGTTCCCCACCTTCCTGTCTGCTTCCTTATGTAAAAGGCTGCTTTAATGTTTGAATTCTCTTGAGTAGATCCATATAGACTACAGTTTGTACACAGACTATAACAACCTTTGACCATTGCATTCAATTTACAGTTGCAAAACCCAGGATACTATGACTACCTGGTATTGCACTTTTAGCAAATGAAATGTTTAAAATCCACAATTGGGAAACCAAGTAAGCAAAAGCAAAACACAAAAACTCTAGCAGGATATTGAAGCTAGACATCCATATTCTGGTCTAGCAGGATTTGTGAGGTCTGTTTTGGTTTCTTGTAGTAGTTTTCTGTTATTTTCTGTGTACAGGTCTTTTGTCTTGGGTTAGATTTATTCCTATGTATTTCATCTTTCGTGTGGCTATTTTAAATGGTATCATTTTCTTCAATTATTTTCAGAGTTCTTTTCCTTAGTGTACAAGAATCCAGTTGAGTTTTTTTTGAGTGGGAACTTGTATCCTGTAACATTGCCAAATCTTTCAATGATTTCCTGTGTGGTAGTTACATAGTCTGTTGTCAATTTGAGACTATTAAGAGTGAAGTGGTGGGGTTTAGCCAGTCAATCAGGTTGTAGCTTGATGACCTCATTTGGAGGCGCTAAGGAGATAAATAGATTGCTGGAGGCGGAACACACCTTCATGCCCTAGAAGACATTCTCCCTGAAAAGACACATGGAGCCATGTGGAGACCCTGCCAGCGTTGACATGTTTCCACTGCCACTGGATCCACAAGATTTTCCACCCACTGGTCGGTGATTGTCTGGCGTTTGGTGT